AACCACGTGGCCTTGTTTGCTCCCTGGGGACCCGTGGGGTGTTTTGCAGAGGGTTTGAGTGCCCGCAGCTACCCTCCCTGGCCTCGTGCACTAGTGGTGATAGCCGTGGACCCGTACACCCCACCACTGTGTGTGGGGGGACCACAGGACACCCCCTCGAAGCCTTTTTCACTCTTCATGTCCCTGCAAACTTAGCTTTTCTGTGAAATGGAGGCCCTCAGCCTGTGGTGTCTGCCCAGAGCACCTGGGAGGTGGGTGGAAGCTCGGGGGGGGCAGGGGACGGGTGGGGGCAGGGCAGATCGGAGGAGGCATGCCGGCTAGGTGTGGAACCACCCCTTCCCTAACTTGGGGTCCAGGTGTCCATTTGGAGATTATGACCGGTGGATGAGGACTCTGTGGTCATAAAGGGGGTCTTGGGACCAGGGGGGAAGGGGCAGACATGGGGTGGAGGAATGCTAGCTAGTGGGAGGTGGTGGTTGGGCAGAAGTCCTCCCTGTTGGCCTGGCCCAGCCGTCTGGTGGGCATGAGTCCTCTGGGCTGAGCCCAGCCCCAGCTGTGCTGCCACCTCCCTGTCCAAGGTGCCTTCACCAGCGCTGTGCGGCTGCCTACGAGTGGCTGGAGACGCCTCACCTCGGAACAGTGAGGGCGGCGGGCAGCGTGGTGGACCAGGGCTGCGTCTGTTTCTCCACGTTGTATGCTGCACGTGTGCACGTCATTTCATTCGATGTCAGTGACTCCGTGGGGCAAGTTTTATTACCCTAGTTTCACGAATGAAATGGCCTCCTATAAGAGACTGCCCTAATTCAAGTTTTAGGACTTTAGTTTTATCAGAATTTTAATTTAGTAAATATTGAGCATGTTCATGTGCCTTGAGCATGAACAATAATCCCCAGTCCACATTCCCCTCATCTAAACGCATTCTCGGTGGGTCACAGACTCAGGATGGGAAGGCAGAGTGCATCAGCTGCCTCTGCTGGACACGTTCCTTAAGTCTTAACAGCTGCCCTGCCCCATTTTGGTATTGAGGACCCTGGGGTGCTTCAAAGTGGAGTTTCCCACACTCTGGATTTGGCCAGTCACCTCCTTCTGCTAACGGGCTCCTCTGTCCCCTGCGTTTCTGTTAACTGAAGTGAGATATAGAGGCCTGATGGGATTCATAGGAAGAGACCTTGGATGTAATATGATCACTTTGGCTGCTAAAGTTGAGAAAGGACTGTAGGCAGTTTCAGGGTAGAAGGAGAGAGACCTATTAGGGCTATCTCAGTGAACTCTAGAAAGAGGAAGGTGGGGGTGGGGCAGTGAGGAGCTCTGTGGATTGTGGGATTTGAGGTGTTACGTGGGAAGATGGGTCCAAAGTGTGGATATGAGAGAGCCACAGGGGCTGGAGATAAAATTGGGAATCATCTAGAAAGATAGTTTTCACAGATTGATGAGAGGAGGAGAAATGTGGCCTGGTCCCTGGGCAGGGCTGTCAGGGAGGGGAGGAGGAAGCAGGAAAAGGGACTGAGCAGAGGAAAGGTCAGAGAAAGAGCAGGCAGGGGGAGGATCTGGGGCTGAGGCTTGCCAAAGTGTCCAGGAAGAGGTTGAGGCAGCTCAGAGAGTGGACCAGCAGCCCTCTGTCTTCTCCCACCCCTCCCCCACCCACAGGCAACCCTTTTCAGCTCTTCAGCTGATACTTTGACTTGTATTTCTAGGTAGCAAACATATGCTGTTCCTTCTTGATTTTCCACTACACACATATGCCGTTCCCATCCACTATTCTTCCTAGACAGTTCTTTTTTTCTCCCCTACCTTTGGTTACATCAGTGTTGAGTATTTACATTATGACATCTATGTTTGTATTTGAAGCTGAACCATGTGGTAAATTGTGATTGTTTTTCTGTCCTGCCCAACTTTTTGTTTTCCTTGAAGTTATTAATTGCCTTCTTTTTTTCATTTGCTTAGTTTTCTATGTACTAACACTAATTAAGTCCTGAATTCTCCACCAGGTCATTTAAATTTCCCCTTGGTTTAGTCACTTTGGCCCTCTTGAGGGTGTCTCGCCTGGAGCTGTCTGCCCCCCACCTAGTGATGCACTCTGGTGCAGAGCTGCCATCCTGGGGAATGACCCCTCAACTCTCCTAGGTTTGATCCCTGTTTATTGTAGTCTAGGTATTCCTCTTTCTTGTTCTTCACACTCATTTTAGTAGTGCGTGTGTATACACGCATGTGCACACAGGCAAGGCAGTACCCATGTGTTCTTTGGGGGTGAGGCCTGAGGTGAAGGACTGTGGTAGCGATGGGGAAGGCAGAGGGCCTGGAGTGTTCATTCTCCTGGGCAGAGAGAGGTGGGGGTGCTGGGCTGTGAGAAAGTGGGTTTCTCGAACCATCCCCCTCCTCCCTACTTGCAGGGCTGCCTGGTCAGAGCCAGTGTTTATTGGCTGGGCAGGTCCAGCCCCTGCCAGACCTCCGCCTCCACCCTCAGCTCTACCGGTCTGCTCCAGTTCCCGTGGGGACAGGGACAAGGGTGAAGGAGGATAAGGGCAGAGGGAGTCAGGATAGGGAGGGCTGTCAGGAGGCCACTAGGTTGAGTGGCACACTCCCCAAGGCAGTCACCACCCCTGAGCTCAGCTGGCGTGAAGGAGAGCTTACGCCCTCCTTGTGCCCACACAGGCTTCCGAGCATCAAGGGCTGGCAGGGGGGCCCTGTGGGCAGGGGCTTGGGAGGCCCTGGCACAAGGGGTAGCCTGAAGCCTCAAGGTCAAGGCCCTCAGTCTTCCAGCTGCATGGCTGGTACTGCCCACCAGTCCTACAGAGGCACAGTCAGCTCTGCAGACCGCCATCAATCAGTAACGCTGGAGACCCCCCTGGGCCACGCAAGAGCTCAGTCTCCCCTAACTTGTCTCCAGCGCCTCCCTGACATCCCCCCCCCCCCCCCCCCCCCCCCGCCACTTCCCTCCCTGCCACATCCGGGCCTGCGGTGGGTGTGGGCAGCACAGGGTGAAGGCCCCCTCGGGAGGGCCCCAGTGCCTGGCGGGTGAGTAATTTTATTTACCTTTCCTGAGAGGCCTTCTGTCCTCTCATTTTCTCCAATTAGCCCGGCTCTGCCTGAGCAGCTCCAGCCCACGTGGCCTGTGGGGGCTGTGGGCACCCCACACCCTAGAGCTCAGTGGTCACCTCCCAGGTCCTTGAGGCAGGGACACCTGGCAGGCTGGTTAGCTTGTGCTCTCTGTTCCTCTGGCTCCTTTCTCCTCTGACACACAGCCCAACAGGTGTCACCGCACTGGCTGCATGGGCACTCAGGAGGGGTGACCACAATCCCCACACTCGTTCCTCCTCCCGCACTTGCCTCCATCCCCCGCGTCAGATACACCATCCCCAAGATGGCAACCTTGACCTTGGGGTGCTCCCCAAGCAATTGGGTTCCCCGCCTAAGTGCACCGCCTGGTTCTTCCTGTGTAGGACACGCCACTCTTCCCTGGTGAGCACCAGCCCTTGCTGCCTGCCAAGCAGGGTGCCCACCCATCATGCCACGGACAGTGTCCTTGCTGCACTCACTTGGGTGGAGCGGGTCAGGCTCCTCTGCTAAGCGATGACGTCAGGACGGCGCAGAGGTCTTGGGAAAATAGTGCTGCTGCCATCACTCAGACCATTTCAATTCCGGGGGGTCCGTTCCTCCCCACTTCATCTGCTAAATGGTCTGTGAATTGTTGGGGTTAGAGCCGGGGTCGAGTAGCGGCCAGTGGAGGACATCCGGTTCTGGATTGTCTGCCGATGCCCCTATCGGGCCTGAGCTCAGCCCCGGCTCCAGGAGAGAGCCCGAGGTATTCGCGCGGGGTTGGCGGAAGGAGTGTGGTACCTGCCGACTTCCCTCCGCCATCGTCCGCCGCTTCACACCCCTCCGCTGGCTGATGGTGACCCTCTGCGGGTTGGGAGCCAAAACGAATGGACCGTCCCCTCGGGCCCAGGGTGTGGGCGAGCCCCACCTAAACCAGCACGGGAGGGTGGCTAGAAACTGCCCCGGTGGGGACGGGGAGGAGCGCTGTCAGCCACCGGTCGCGCTTTGGGACCCCCTCAGGGGTTCCAGCTCCAAGTTCTCGGGAAAATGGGGGGGCTCCCAGAGGCAGCACACCAGCTGCAGTCCTCATCCAAGGCTGCTCCCTTCCGTGGGGAGGCCCTGGGCCCGGCCCCGCCCTCTCTTTCAGCCCAGCTCCCCACGGGGTGCGGCCGCTACTCAGACTCTTTATTGTTGGAGGGTACACACGTC